ACTTTGAAAACCATTAGGAATTTGTTAATCTTCTATCCCCTACTTTCATATGGTGCTGGGACCTGGATTAGTCATTTAACACCTGCAAGCAACATTGTGGCGTGTGAACAAGGGGGTGTCGTTGAGCCGACCCGCTCAGTGTCTGTGTGTGTAGTCGCGGCCAGCCACCAAGAGTCGGGGGGACACTGGCCACGTGGCGGTCACAGTCGGCGTTCGGATTTGTCAGGTCACCAAGTAGCATATCTTAGTGGTATCTTACACTGTGTTTAATTGCTTGGGATTTAACATTGAGTTCTTATATTTAAGAACTTAAAAATAGGGCCCTTCATACTAAATCTATCGTCTTTCGAGACTAAGCAAACTTTTAATACTTAAAAATGATTTCTGGATAACATCAAGAATAAATTTAATATTTTTTTGGAGTATAAATCTGGAGACAATTAATTATAACCAGATACTTACAAGAACACTCATAGACTCGCTTATTTAAGGATAGGTTTTCTGTTGGAATACAGAAGCCTCTTTGTGATGTTACTTTACTGCAATTCTGTGATATAATAGCCATATGTCAGCTATAGAGCCTAAAGGAGAAGCTGTAATGACCTAAAGCACCACAGCTTGCCCTTTTTGGCTATCAAGCAGTCCAAAATCATAGCTATTATCACCATTGCCCTGACCATTCCTGCTTACTACTACGAAGAAATAAAGTCAAGCTGAAGCATGGGCTGTCACACGCCCAGCCCTGCGGCGGGTCTGTAGGCACACAAGGAGTCCCGTCACTTTCTCCCCAGTGCTTGTCACCACGTGGGAATCTCCCTTCATCGCTGAAAGAACCTGTATCTTCTCGCCTAGTCTGGGCTAGCTAGACATATTCATCAAAACCAAGATACCATATAGCAGATGTTACGGTTGTACCTACTATGTGTCTTAAAGAAATATGGACCAAGTCAAGGTGAACAGAATAATATTAGGTAAAGGCTTAACACCCCAACTACTTTCGATAGAGAGGTCCTGGGAAGCCCCAGTGACATGAGCGCTTCGAAGCAGAAGGGACTGTGGTGCATAGTATGCTCCGAGGTGCGTAGGAGGCCCGGGGGGTGGAGCGTCAGGGAAGAGCCATGGGTGAACCCTGCCAGGTGAGAATAAGCATGACGTGGGCGACAGCAGCGGAGGCCCAGACAGATGGGGTCCGAGTTGGGGGCGAGGGGTGTCACATGCCGGGCCAGCGTCAGACTCAGGAAAACCTTAGGACATGTCACCAAGCTCCATCTGGCCAGCTGCGTGCATCATGGTTTGGAACATGGGAAAACTTCAAAATTGATGGAATGACTGTTTTTCATCTTGGACGTGCAAAAGCTTTGATAACACATTAGATATTTATGCAGAAATTCAGCGATCACTTAGCCAGAAACTCCTCTGAGAAGGGAATGCAGGTCTTCTTAAAGTCCATTGTGTGCAGCGTTGGGGTTTTTTAACTTCATAAATCATGGGAAGCTGTGTTGGCAATGGGCTATAACTCAACAGTAGACAGATTGCTCTTTGCTGCTTTCTTTTAAGAAGCAGGTTATAAAACTGTTGGGAGCCTGGTAGAGTAGTTCATAGATCATCTTAAGCAATTTGAAGTAATGTAAAAAAAAAATACGGCCTTGCATCTCAAAGGCAATAGAGCCTGAAGGAGAAGAGACTTCATTGAGGCCCCTTCCTGGAATTGGAGCCCAGTGCTCTGCTACCTGAGTGGCCGTCACCTGCCTCCGTGGGAAAGCCACCCCCCTGCACAGCCCTCAGTGCAGTGCGGTCAGTGAGAAGTTTCTGTCAATGCAGGGTTAGCATTATGACAGTTTTCATTAAAATGATTCTATACTTTTCCCCAGTTCTTACATATGAAAATACTTCACCTCCTGTTAGCACACTTGGCAGTAAAGCTTTGCGTGCTGGAAGGGACTGCTGGGACACCCCTGCATTCATGGTTTGTCACTGCTCAGATGTGTCCATTAGGTAAACTTAACACAAGACATCTGTTTGTGGGGCGGCTGGAGGCCCTCCCAGACCATGAGAGCTGCACTTAGGTGTCCTGAGCATAAGAAGACTCTGACCTGGGGGTCGTTTAGATCAGCAGACAACACTCACTTAAAAAATGATAGAGACCCTTATACGAACGGCTTTCTTTTCATCTGGACACTGTCTTCAAAGGGTCTTGGGTCACGGTCTTGTTGGTCACGGCTTATAACAGGCCGGCCATGCCAATGACACGTGCGAGGTTACCCCAGCTCTGAAGGGATCGTCTCCTTGTTGGTTAGTGTGAACTCTGTTCCATGCTGTTGGGTTGGGTTTTAGAGGAAGCTGCTCGTGTCAGTTCTGAAGCCTGTCTCTCCCTTTTCTTTCAGACCACGAAGGCTTTTCTTCCCACGATGCTGGAGATCAATCACGGTCATATCGTGACAGTCGCGAGTTCCTTGGGGCTGTTCAGTACCGCTGGAGTCGAGGTTTGTCAGATGGGAAGCATTTCCTTCATTGAATCGCATTCTCTGGTGACGAGTACCCCCACATCCTAAGAAGAGTACCTGCTGCCCTCTGCCTGGTGTCCCAGGGCCGGCTAGTGTGACGGGGAGCAGCGGGAAGGGAAGGCGCTGGGCCAGTCCTCTGTGTGCCCCGTGCCCGCTAGCAGTTTTTTGCTTGATGATGGTGGAAGACACAGGTTCAAGAACAAAGCCCGTGGAGGGCAGGGGCAGTGTCACAGGGAGCAGATAAGTGAGGCCCAAGGTTGACCAAAGTGAGCTACCTGTCTGTGTCAGCTCGTCAGATGAGATGGCTCTAGCAGATGTGAGGGGTCCTGCCTTGTCAGTGTGTGGAACTGGCCTCCACACCACATTCAAACCAGAAAGCGTGTGCATGTATAGTCCCGTGCTGTTAACCAGAAAGCGTGTGCATGTACAGTCCCGTGCTGTTAACCAGAAAGCGTGTGCGTGTACAGTCCCGTGCTGTTAACCAGAAAGCGTGTGCGTGTACAGTCCCGTGCTGTTAACCAGAAAGCGTGTGCGTGTACAGTCCCGTGCTGTTAACCATAAAGCGTGTGCGTGTACAGTCCCGTGCTGTTAACCAGAAAGCGTGTGCGTGTATAGTCCCGTGCTGTTAACCAGAAAGCGTGTGCGTGTACAGTCCCGTGCTGTTAACCAGAAAGCGTGTGCATGTACAGTCCCGTGCTGTTAACCAGAAAGCGTGTGCATGTACAGTCCCGTGCTGTTAACCAGAAAGCGTGTGCGTGTACAGTCCCGTGCTGTTAACCAGAAAGCGTGTGCGTGTACAGTCTCGTGCTGTTAACCAGAAAGCGTGTGCGTGTACAGTCCCGTGCTGTTAACCAGAAAGCGTGTGCATGTACAGTCCCGTGCTGTTAACCAGAAAGCGTGTGCGTGTATAGTTCCGTGCTGTTAACCAGAAAGCGTGTGCGTGTACAGTCCCGTGCTGTTAACCAGAAAGCGTGTGCGTGTATAGTTCCGTGCTGTTAACCATAAAGCGTGTGCGTGTATAGTCCCGTGCTGTTAACCAGAAAGCGTGTGCATGTACAGTCCCGTGCTGTTAACCATAAAGCGTGTGCGTGTACAGTCCCGTGCTGTTAACCAGAAAGCGTGTGCATGTACAGTCCCGTGCTGTTAACCAGAAAGCGTGTGCATGTACAGTCCCGTGCTGTTAACCAGAAAGCGTGTGCATGTACAGTCTCGTGCTGTTAACCAGAAAGCGTGTGCGTGTACAGTCCCGTGCTGTTAACCAGAAAGCGTGTGCGTGTATAGTTCCGTGCTGTTAACCATAAAGCGTGTGCGTGTATAGTCCCGTGCTGTTAACCAGAAAGCGTGTGCGTGTACAGTCCCGTGCTGTTAACCAGAAAGCGTGTGCATGTACAGTCCCGTGCTGTTAACCAGAAAGCGTGTGCGTGTATAGTTCCGTGCTGTTAACCAGAAAGCGTGTGCGTGTACAGTCCCGTGCTGTTAACCAGAAAGCGTGTGCGTGTACAGTCCCGTGCTGTTAACCAGAAAGCGTGTGCATGTACAGTCCCGTGCTGTTAACCAGAAAGAGTGTGCATGTAAAGTCCCGTGCTGTTAACCAGAAAGCGTGTGCATGTACAGTCCCGTGCTGTTAACCAGAAAGCGTGTGCGTGTACAGTCCCGTGCTGTTAACCAGAAAGCGTGTGCATGTACAGTCCCGTGCTGTTAACCTGAAAGCGTGTGCGTGTACAGTCCCGTGCTGTTAACCAGAAAGCGTGTGCATGTACAGTCCCGTGCTGTTAACCAGAACGCGTGTGCATGTACAGTCCCGTGCTGTTAACCAGAAAGCGTGTGCATGTACAGTCCCGTGCTGTTCTCCTATGGGTGCCTGTAGGGTTAACACTGAAAGCATCGCCCCACGCAGATGGGCACAGACTAGACGACTTCCGCATTCTGCGTGGCCTTCCCAAGTTTAATGTTGGGTAGTGGAGAACTTTATTCTTATACCATGTTTCCTTAGGCTGAGTTCTAGTTTAAGTTCACAGGTATAGTTATTTTTACTTGTACTTCACCCGAAAAAGAAAATCAGGTCATAACAACTTATAACCTAAGCTAGACTCACCTCTGTTCTCCTAGCATTAATTTAACTGTTTCTCAGTTTCCTTTGGGGAACAAGAGACCATTTGTAAAATTTCCAGACACTTCAAAGTGAACCTCTCTCCATTTCTAACTCCAGTTCGCTGGCTCTCCTAGACTCCTTTGTGGTAACTTCCCCCAAGTAATCTGATACTTCATTGATGTGGCAGAAAGTGTTCATGTGTTTTTGCTGTTGCTTTGAAAATATTATTTCTGCACTGAACCACATCAGATATCTGTCTTTTAAAATGCTTTCCTTTTCTTTGCTTAGTCACCTGTAACCTTTCGTAGCAAACATGTAACCAGAGCAATGGGCCCGGGAGAAGGTTGGGTTTGGTCTGGGGCTTCGGTGTACTCAGCTCTTGCCCTCCTCTCTCCCACTAACAGGATTACTGTGCCAGTAAATTCGGAGTCGTGGGTTTCCACGAATCCCTGAGCCACGAGTTAAAGGCTGCTGAGAAGGACGGAATTAAGACAACACTGGTGTGCCCGTACCTGGTAGACACTGGCATGTTCCGAGGCTGCCGGATCAGGTCCGTGAGAACCTATCTTACTGCTGATAAAAAGTGTTTTAAAAATCATCTTTCCATATCGGGAAAACGTGAAATTGGATCCTAGACGTCGGCTTGCACTTGGACTCTCATTTGACAGATAACCTATAATTTCCACTGGTCAGAGGCTTTGAGGTGAATGAGACGAACAGGCGGGTCTTGTGCCACACTGTGCCACCCAGCAGACGTCCGTCTAGAAGCGTCAGAACATGGCTTCTCCGGGCCTTCGTGGAGGAGACGCAGCTCCCAGGAGTGCCCTGGAGGCCCCCTCTTTAGGAGGTGTTTACTTCCTTAGAACCGAGTGGGAATGTCAGTGTCAGGGGAGTTACTCTCCAGGCCTGGAAGGTCCTTTCTGCAGAGGGTGTATGTAGCCAGATTCAGTCCAGAATGAGAAGAAACGGCTCGGTTTACTAGGAATGAAAGGAGGCAGGTGGGAGTCTAAATGTGAAGTCGCATCTGACTTTGCTAAGCAGCATAAACCCCGCGAGTCAGTAAGAGGGTACCTGCGATGACGTGCTTGAGACCTCTGTTGGATGCATTTGAAAGGCAAAGGAGATAACCCAACACGTGCCCTGTTGGTCACATCCTGAACCTGACCAAGCAGGGAGGCAGGTGGAAGGTGACTTCAGTCCTTGCAGTCTCAGGCTGACCTTCCCCGCGCGTGCGTGCGTGTGCGTGCGTGTGTGTGTGTGTGTGTGTGTGTGTGTGGTTTTCCCTCCTTCTTTGTTAGGAATCAGCTGCTCAGGGTCTGAGGAGCTCTGCTTCCTACTTAGCATCAGGGCAGGTGTCCAGAGCTGTGGTGGGACAAAGGAGAGTGAAAGGACTAACGCGTTTCAGTTGGCTATTTCAACACGCGCCGTGCTGACCTCAGCTGAAGGTCAGAGTCAATGCAAGTCATGTCCGTGAGCCCTGGAGAACACACCTGGCTTCCCGGCCAGCGCCCAGGAAGGGCTTCTGCTGCCTCCGGAAGGCTGTGCAGGGCTCACACGCCACTACCTGCCCTGCCCTGCACACCACTCCGGCATCTCATTTGGGCTCAGTGTTTGTTATGCCAAACACCCTCTGCTTTTTATGTTGAAAGAAAAAAATAATTTAAGGCATTTAAACTTGACTCACTTTAGAGAAAGCAGATTTTGCCCTCTTTTTTAAACTTGTTTTCCAGACTCTGCCTGTTCATAGTAGGAAAATTTAGAAAAAAAAAACAAAAGCAAAATGAAGTGAAAACTGAGGCAAAATCTTGTCGCTCAGATAACATCGCTGCTCATGTTGTGAAGTGAAGTGCAGGCTTGCCTGTGGTGTGCTCAGCTTTCATTGCGTTTTAATCACGTAACTTTCAGGAAGGAGATCGAGCCGTTCCTGCCCCCTCTGAAGCCCGACTACTGTGTGCAGCAGGCCATGCGGGCCATCCTCACCGACCAGCCCATGGTCTGCACGCCCCGCCTCATGTACATCGTGACCTTCATGAAGAGGTAACGGTCCCTCCCGGGCACCGCCCCCGGGCCACCCTGCCGGAGCGCACGCCTCGCGTTTGCTAACCGCTGTGCTTTCCCTTGCAGCATCCTCCCTTTCGAAGCGGTCGTGTGCATGTATCGGTTCCTCGGAGCGGACAAGTGTATGTACCCCTTTATCGCTCAGAGAAAACAAGCCACAAACAATAATGAGGCGAAAAACGGCATCTGAGGATCTTTTCTGGGCGGAGCGCCGTTTCCCTCGGAAGACGAGCAAGATGTTTCCGTTCATCACATCAAGTAACGGACATTCTCGGGATTCTGAATTCGAGTGGACTTTTTTTTTTTTATTAATCAACTTTTTAAAAAATAAAGTGTAAATTAACCGACTAGAGTACTTGGAAAAATGCGATCAGCAAAAGTGAGGTCGAGTGTTGCCAGTGGGGTCCCTTTTAGGCAGAACCCTAAAGCCAGTCAGTTCTTTCAGACAAGCACTGTGTGGCGTCTCCAGGCTCCCGTGACTTTTTTTAATGAGCAGAAAGTCTAGAGATGATAACTACAGTGTGTTTCATGTGTGTGGTTTTTCTTAATTCCCATAGCGTTCATTAATTCTTGTCATTAAACTCTAGTCAGTTGACTCCCTTGCAACTCCAAGGACCGATAGTGCGATGCTTTCTCCCGTTTCCTCAGTTTCCGTTTGGCACAGCCTGTGCAGCCTCTCGTGGTGTTTATATAGCTCTTCTAAAAAGGAATTTTGAAATCTCCATCAGTTTGAATCAAGTGATGTTTGATTGTTTCGGTAAGATAATCGGGTCTCTTTCTTAAGGTCACAACGACTAAAGTGTTAGCTGGATTTTTAAACTTTCTCTCTGAAACCTTTCCTGAAGTACCTATCACTGGGGACCGAATTATCCCAAAAAGATCATGCATTTCCTACCTATGAATTCTGCTGCATACAGAACGTGCCCTTTCCTCAGGAAGTCGCTGTTTCCTTTCTTTGGGTGGACTTTTATCTAGAACACATAGCAGATCAGCAAAGAGAACGTTTCTAAAAATGGGGACTTCTAAATTTTAAAAAAATCCCCATTTTTGTGCCAACTATGATGAGTGTTGGGGGGGGGGATCTTACACTATGGAGTACATATGGAAGGCTGTAAAGATTCTTTTGAAATTTTTATTCACCTTGTACAACAGCAAATGACATTTTTACAGTATTTTTTTGTAAAGCAAACTATTTTGTGCCTTGAATTTGGTAAATGTGTATTAGTGAGACGTTGTAAAAGTGAACTTCTACCTCTGTATCTAAATGTATACCATCCACTTGTAAATGACTATAAACTATTATGTGATTGCCTTTTTTTTTTTTAGAATGTCTTGTTTAAATAGCAACCAATGTTTAAGGCTATTAAAATAAGCCATCTTTTACTAATTAATTGGGAAGTTTTATAAAGGACTGATTAAATTTAAAGAATTAACTTACATACAACTGAGTGTGTGGTTTATTAGTTATCAGCAATGTCGTAGGGAAAATCATGTTCTTTTTTTCTCTGCCATATCACGCCTTAAGAAAAATGCTTGAATGGGATGGTGTCGGGAACAGACATGAACAGCTTAGGATGCCATTCACGCCAATCTCCACTGTTACCATTGCTTGGATTAGATCCCTTATCAGGGCCTTGTTTATGCTAAAAGTGGGAAAAGAAAAAGAAGCCCATTCCCTCTGAGTCGGCCTGCCCCGCACAGATCAAATCTGCTCTGTGTCCACACAGGACAGTCCTGCGCAGTGCCTGTCCCCATCGCTGGTCTGTGAGGAGTGGCTTCATGTTATGTTGGGAGTTCTCTTTATCAAAGATAACCAAGCCGCACGCCACTGAGACAACGGAGGCACCAGGCTGCCTCTTCATTTCCATCTTGAGTTTAAAGAAGTATTTAAAGTGGCCTCAGAACAGTGTGGGCAGAGACGTGTCCGAGGTGACTCAGGATTGCCTGCATCAGCCAGCACCCGCCAGCCACCCTGGAGAAATCCATTCTACTCAAGCGACCCATTTCTCCATCGCAGGACTAAGGAAACTTCCCTACGTTTAATTTTAATTCTCCCGTGTTGTCATTTAAGCTATTGCTATTTTTGTTTGTTGCTACCCTTGTAAGGTTGTCCATCTCTGAGTTCCATAAACCCAGTTCATTTCCCTTTTGTGTAGAATTCAATTCCCACGTCCCAGCCTAGTTTAATTACATCCATGGCTCTCCTTTGAACGTTGTCCAACTTCCCTAGCTGTGCAGTTGGAAGGGGATACAGTGAATGCAAGGGTAGGGTTCCAGGCCTCTGCGGCGATGTAGTTCTTTCCCTCCGTGTCACAGTCTCGGTCTAACGCTGGGTGCATGGTCATCGTTCTCCCCAAACGTGAGCTCTTTTGCCGTCGAGCCTGCGTACTGCTGTTGCTCACTCAAGTAATGGCCAAGGCGACTGTTCTTGCTGATGATTCCTCTACACCCCCACTTGACATTACTGCTGACTTTGCATATGTTCTCTTTGCTGTCATCTGGCCCAGTCAGGCCACTGTTCAGGGCCACTGCACTCAAGGCTGACCCCTAGGGAGACCACTTCTGTCTCCCAGCTGTGTGAGAGTGCATTCTCCCTCTCCCTCTCTCTCTCTCTCTCTCTCTCTCTCTCTCTCTCTCTCTCTCTCACACACACACACACACACACACACACACACACACACACACACACACACACTCCTTTCAGTCGGTTTAATGATAATCACATTGAGTGGGACCCAGGAATTATGAAGCCGGTGGAGATAAATTCCAGCCATTGTTCCCCCTGCTCTGCTAGGTCTGCTGCTCTGTCACAGGAGATTAGCTGAGCTTGACAGGGCTCAACTGCGTGCAGCCAGGCTGGGTTTTTTTCTTTTCTTTCTTTCTCTTTTTTTTTTTCTTTAAGTATCCTGTTTCCTTGAAAGGCTATACCTTTCAAAATTTTCCCAAGTTAAAAAAAAAAAAGTCAAATGTCTTTTTCAAAGTTTTCTTTTCCAACTGGCAGAAATACTTCCAAATTGGCGTTGACCTGAACCTTGGATATTTGCTTTTGCCTCCGACAAAATTTAAAATCAGTGGGGGTTGGGGAAGCAGGGTAGATCTTTCTGTGCCAAATCTATTGCCTGTGTCTGATTTAAAAAGAGGAACTGAGAAAGCAAGGCTGGGATGGGCCTGCCGGGCTGGGACCCTGGGCCACTGAGCAGGCAGACAGCCTTGGCCCCCGGGGCACCTTAGGAAAGCACACCAGGCATCCCCGGGCCCAGGGCCTGTCCCAGGGGCTCTGGGAGCTTACAGGGAATGCACAAGGTCACATCTGAGTATCTCTCTGTGCTGATGCTACAAACGAAGCCTCAGAGTGCGGCGAGGTCTCAGCAAGGGGGAGGCAGGAGGTGGCTGTTGCAATGAGCCTTGAAGGTTGGTGGTACAACAGGTGCGAGGAGGAGGAGGAGGGCTGGGCCCAGGAACAGGGTCTCCGGAAAGGCCGGAGAGTGAACAGCAAGATCACACTCATTAGACCTCAAATAGGACGGGAGCAGAGAACGCCACGCACTCCCTAAGGAAGTCCCATCTGTCTCGAAAACAGCCTTCATTCCAGGGGCAGGACCGGTGCGCTTCATTCGACAGAGAAGAGAGAAGCTCTGCCCGCGGCATTTGCTGGCAGCGACATGAGCAGTTGTGAGGTTAACAGAATCAGGCAAGTGGCTATGAAGAATTTGGGGACATGGAAGCCAGGGGACCAGTTGGGAGGGAAGCTGAGGCAGGGAGGTGGTAAGAGGGGAAAGGAGATGGCCGGAGAGTGTGTGGACCAATGACAACGGCTGCACAGGGGACTTAACTTTTCTCTCTCTATATATATTTTTAATATATATATTTATTGATTTCAGAGAGGAAAAGAGAGGGAGAGAGAGATCAAAATATTAATGATGAGAGAGAATCATTGATCGGCTGCCTCCTGCACGCCCAATACTTCGATCGAGCCCAAAACCTGGGCACGTGCCCTGATCAGGAACTGAACCTGACCTCCTGGTTCATAGGTCGATGCTCAACCACTGAGCCACGCAGCTGGGCGGGACTTAACTTTCCTGACAAGCACACTCATCAGGAGCCTAAGCAAGTGGGAGCAGCAGATCGGACCGTGCATCTGATACCAGAAATTCTGCATGGAGATGACAGGAACAGGCAGGCGGGGCCGCTCGCCCCTGTGCCCCGGAAAGAAGCCGGTGCTAAGGTTCTGGACCCCCCTGCAGAGACGCTCTGAAGTGAGCCTGGAAGGAGGAGACGCAGAATGAGAAGGTCCAGGGACCCAAACTTGGGGAATGAGAGGGAGCCAGTGAAAAGACAAGTCATGGAAGGTGACGTCGGAACCAAGTTAGGAGGGGGACTTCCTCCTCCAGGGGAGAAGCCAGACGAGAGAGAAACAGTTATCTCCTCTGCCTGGACCTAATCTCCAGTCTGAGTCACCCTTAAGAAACCCCAGCCTGACCCAAGAAAAAGAGTCTGCGTGGCCAGCTCCGGGGCCGCGGCCCCAAGGTGAAGGTCAGTGCTACCAGATAGCACGGGAGCTTTCACCGGCAGGCACGCGGGTGGCCAGTCACTGGGTCCATTGTTCCCGCGACCAGGGGGAAGTTTCCTCCTGGGGAACCCTGCCGCTCGTTGGCAATTTTGTCAGCGTGGCTGCGGAAGCCGGCCTTGCTGAGACCTGCAGGCAACGAATGGTCCCTGGGAACCTCGGGGGAAAAACAAGGCACAGTTCAGGGTCGCCCAATGGATACATGTGACTTCAAGTGCGCCATTTCCACAAGCCATGAAGACGGGGCACCATGCACTTCTTATCAGTCTGCGCAACCAGACAGGCTCCTATCTGGTTCCCTGGCGCGCTGACCTCACCGCTGGCGAGGCACGGCGAGGACCTGCTCCGGGCCGGTCCCGGGTCAAGATGGACATCACTGCTTTCCCAGGGAACGGCAAGGCAGAGCGTGGGACCACAGTCCTGGGTACTTTTTTTTTTTTTAAGTTTACTATTATTATTGATTTCAGAGAAGAAGGGAGAGGGAGAGAGAGAAACATCATGATGAGAGAGAATCCTCGATTGACTGCCTCCTGCTCACACCCTACTGTGGATCGGGCCCATAACCTGGGCATGTGCCCTGACCAGGAATCGAACCTCGACCTCCTGGTTCATAGGTCAACTCTCAACCCCTGAGCCACGCCAGCTGAGCAGCCCTAGGTACGTTTAATTATGACCCTTCCCGGGCTCCCTGTTCCTACATGACCGTGGCCATCTCACAACGCTAGCCCATTTCTACGACTCTCGCTCCGGGAAAGCCCTGAGAATGTGCCATCACTAGTCTAGACCAGGGATGGTGAACCTTTTGAGCTCGGTGTGTCAGCATTTTGAAAAACCCTCACTTAACTCTGGTGCCGTGTCACATATAGAAATTTTTTGATACTTGCAACCATAGTAAAACAAAGACTTATATTTTTGATATTTATTTTATATATTTAAATGCCATTTAACAAAGAAGAATCAACCAAAAAAATGGGTTCACGTGTCACCTCTGACACGCGTGTCATAGGTTCGCCATCGCTGGTCTAGACTCTTCCTCATTCAGTAGTTATTTCTCCTTTAACTTGCTCTGCTTCTGTAGACAACTTGCGCTGTCTCCCAGGAGCTTCTCACAAGCTTTTTAGCTGTAATTGTTGAAACCTTTCTAACCACCAGCCAAGAGCAAGGGAATCGATTAGCAAGAAAAACAAAGCCTCTCCAGCCCAGGTTTGAGTTGGGGGTTTTCCTGTCAGGGTGATTTAAACCATGCTGTAGGGCAGCGGTTCTCAACCTGTGGGTCGCGACCCCTTTGGCGGTCCAACGACCCTTTCACAGGGGTCGCCTAAGACCATCCTGCATATCAGATACTTACATGATGATTCATAACAGTAGCAACATTACAGTTATGAAGTAGCCACGAAAATAATTTTATGGTTGGGGGTCGCCACATGAGGAACTGTATTTAAAAGGCCAGAAGATTGAGAACCACTGCTGTAGGGAGAGATGTGTGTTCATAGCCGCCATGAGAAATGCCCCCTCGCCTTGCCCACACCTCCTGGGTGGTCCACCTGGCCACCACCCGCAGGCCTCCCCTCCCCCACGGCGGCGGCCAGAGCCTGGCTCCTCCACCCCGGCCTCTGCCCACAGGTGTGTGTCTCCCCATCCAGCCGGCTCTGTGCAGGAGGCCAGCGGCAGGTGGGGGCCCTGCCCTCCCCCACTCCAGGCACACAGCGTCCTGCAGCTGTAGAGCACCCATTTAAGAGCGCAGTATTGCAGGTTGACTCGTGTCCCCCCAAAAGATGATGCTGTCCTAACTCTCAGTTCCTGTAAACAGGACCATTTTGCGATCATAATTAGGTCCATTACCCCGGGGGGCCTTAACCCAATCACTGGC